TATTTTATATATATATATATAATAAATATATAAATATATATTTATATTAAATATATATATATATAATATCAAAGAATTTGTTTATTTATTTTTTGTTAGGTCTAAAAAAAGCAACTTACAAAGAGACAAGAAAAAAAAAGAGAAAAGAAATTTTTTAAAAGCTAAAATCTTCGCTTATATTTATATTTAATTTAATTTAATTTATTTGTTTTTTTTTTTACTATATTTTTGTGTTCATTAGTTATGTTTGCGAAACGTATCACAAAAATAAGCTTTCCTGAATTTTGGATAATGAATGATGATAGTAATAACATCAAAGAAGTTAATAGTGGTGGTGAATGTAGCTAGTAGAGTGGTAGGTTATTATTATGGAATTAATATATGTGCGTGCGTGTGTGTATCAATCAATCAATCAATTCATTAAACTGTGTATAAAAAAAGTGTATGGAGAAATAAAAGCGAACTTTGATATACGATTTACGTTATTAATTATAATCATTCATTACTAAAATTAATTAATTAGTGATTTTCCAAAATCTTTGAAAAATTGAACTTTATTTTAAAGTTTTGAAAGATATATAAATGAATATACGTACATATTAAACATATTAATTAAATTATATATAATGAATATAAACACATATAAAATACTTGCACAATAAATACATAAATATAAAAAATAAAGTTCAAACAAAGGAATGAGAGATAAAAATTCTCAACTTTATTTTTTTAATGTCACGTTGATTAAAAAACGATGCGTAATCTCAAATTCAAAAAAAAAAGGCAGTATATTTCATCATAATCAATATAATAACATCATTATTAACGAACGTCGTATGAATGAATTGAAATTAGTCAGCGAGTGGATGGATGTGGTGGAGTTGAATTGGTCAGAGAACGACAGGAGAGAGAACAAATTTTATTATTATTTAGTAATGATAATAAAATAAAAAAAGAAACCAAATAAATAAATATCTACCTTCGGCTTAATTTATTTATATGTTTTCATTTATTAATTAATTTACAAAATAATAATAAATAAAACAAGGAGGATTGCTCAGATCTTCACATCATATACACAAAATCATAACCTTATTATACGAAAATGGAATTAAATTATTTTTAGATGTTAACCCTCCCTATTTTTGTTTATTTGACATCAGAAAAATCTCTGTGATAATTAATTTTTCTCGAATTATTTTATTTTTTTTAAAGAACAAGAAATTTCACGATAAGAAATCTAATTGAGATTTTACTTGTATGTAAATATCTTAGAAATATTATTATTATTATTGAAAATAGTAGTGATATTAACATCATTGAATAATAATAATAGCACAATGGGGACTGAATAAGGAAATAGACATTCGTGAGCAAGATTGGATCGATATTTGATAGAAGTGTCGATTTTGGCTAAACGTCGCAGATGTAACAGGTCTGCAAAGATCTTATATCGGGATATGAATGATTCCATATAGATATAATTAGCAGCGAAGGTGCTTATTATAACATTTTCTTGAGGAGCAAATAATAATTGTGTTACAAGTTTTTGAAAAGTCACATGTGATAAATATGACGTTTATTCTCGACCCCATATTTGACCAGAAATTTACATTTTAATTCCAAATAAACCTTTATAAATGATTGATTGATTAATATAATTTCGTTTATAGAAAAATCCAGTTGATTAAGTGATTTTATAACAAAGAAATAAAAAAAATTTTTTATGGTTTCATTGCCAGGAATTTTCTTTTTTTTCTTTATAGAGAGATCAAAATCTTTTATTTTAAGAAAATCTTGTGAAAATATCATGATTTATATATTCATTTGAAATTATAATTAGCTAGAGGATCTATTTTTAATTCACCTAAAACATGGTTAAGGTGGGGGCAGAAATTTTGACTACATAGCCCCAGATTTCTTTTGTTATATAGTAAAATCAAATGTCGATCATTTTATTAAATTCAAATCAGTTTTAGTAATTGACGAAATTGATATTATGAAAGTTTGTGGCTTTTTAAAAATACAAAAAATAAAAAATAATAAATATGATACATAAAATACAAGAGTTAAAAATCATGAAGAATTCATGATTAGAATAGCAGTCCATAATACAAAAGAAATTAATTCAAAACCTGTGAACTAGTTACAAGAAATATTTTGAAAGGGTGCACATTCTTTTGGACCAAGTGTTTTGGGCTTTAATGATGGAAAAATGTATACTTTTTCCCTTTTAAATTATAACTAATGATATTACAGTGGTAGTATAGGTTACACATTGTCTGATTGGAATAATATTGATAAATGATACTTGCATTTGAGAAGAGTCTAAAAAGGAAAACAGCTGCTTCTGATTTAAATTGGCATTGGATGGAACAACTGACCACAATATTTTTACCAGACTTTGAAATTACTGATATTATATTGAGGGTATGTAAAAGGATGCTGTGAAGCATTGGATGTACTAATATAGCATCTTATAAAAATAGATGTCAAAGTAAGCATTTAACTTATAATAAATAAATCTTACTATCATAATTAATAACTATTAATTGTCTATTTAATAATCAAGATGATAGCTTTGAATTTTGGACAAGTGCAGTGGATGCATCCAGTAATCATGCTTTAATGCTTCATTTATATGAAAATAATCTTATAAATGATGCTCAACACAGTTATTTAATAACAGTAATATCAGCAAAGAGCCATCAGATCCAAAATAAAATTAATAAATTTTGGATATTTTTAATGTTTTTCAATTTAGATGAACAACTGTGGATTGAATGGTAAACAAAAGACATTATCAGTGATTTCTGATAAATTCTGTATTGTGAATTGCAAGAAATTTGAAGGTAATAAACCTGTTCATTCTGATCCACACATTAACAAAAATAATTGTTATCACCCATTAAAACATGCTCTCCCAAGTTTAATCAGTGACATAAGTAAGATTTATTATCTTAGTCCATGAAAATTCATTTATTTGGTATTGTGAGATAGTAAATCTTGAACCTATCAATTTCCCGGTTAATATTGACCAATTAGAACGAATTTATTACGGAAGTCATGTGATGTGCTAAATATTACATCACGACCAACGACTATCTTTCTATATATTATTGTAATGGTTGCGCCGCATATCATGTAATGTTATACTGAAGATCTTTATATTCATATTTCTACTTACAGTGCATGAAAAAAGTTTTTAGAATGGAATTTTTATTTATTGTGCAATGAAAAAAAGATAACAGCACATAAAAATTTATAGATATGCTCTTTATGATTTGATAAATAAGTTTACTTAAAACTACTTAGTAGCTTATCTTATTACCATTTTTCTCAATCACTTCATTTAAACTTGACGGGCATACTATGACAAAAAATTTTTTGTCAATCCTCTCCCATTCTTTCTGAATTATTTCACGAAAACTTTCTGCAGCAATTGCTTTTTTTTTAATTAACACTTTATTGACTTGCTTTTCAACACGTCCCTTTAAAATTTGCCTCGAATTCTCAATTGAATTGAGATCTGGGTTATTTGATGGCAATCCAACATTTTTTGGACAGTGTTGTGCAAGAAGTTTTTAAGTATTCCTAGCTGTATGCTTAGGGTAGTTATCTTGTTGAAAGATCCAATGGTTTCCCATGACATTGTTTGTATTGTCAAATAGATTTTCAGTTAAAATCTTTCAAAAGAAAATTGTGTTTATTTGAAACACATTTTATTCCGAAAAGTTTTTTCGTGCACTGTATATATTTAAATATATATACAGATATTCATCTATCTTGAGTTCAGATTGCAGAACCAATCCAGCTAATAGTCTTTCTGCTTTTACTCTGAAAAATATTAAATAAAATTAAATTTATGTCTTTGTTAAGAAAGTTATTTATTTATTTTATATACCTTTTTTTGAGGGCATTTATCTTATCATGTAATTCGCTCATTTCATCATCCATAATTTTAAATTTCAATGAACCTATGTGCCACATAGTTGAATCATCAAATAACTCTTCTCTATTCTTAAAAAATTTATCCGTAGGCAATTATAACCATTTTCAATTGTCTTCTGAACATCTTTTGTTGTATCAGAACTGCATAACCAAATAACAGAAGGATAATTGTTTTCTGCAGTGAGTCAACATAAATCTAATCAGACAAATAATTACATAACCAAAATATTGTTTATTTAATTGTTTAGATGATAGATAATAATAATAATAAAATCATATTCACCTTCAACTCATCTACCTCCTTTGGAATATCTATACTCTGTCTATAACTTTCAATTAGTTCTAATTCTACCACCTTTTTATAATACTATCTTCTTGTTGAATATAGCGAGCCAAGCCATCGGCTTGTTTTTGCTTTGCTAACTCAGCTTGATGTTGTTTTCTGCCTTCATCTTTTTACTAAAATAATTGTGTGAATATATGTATGTATATATTTATTTATTAGGAAAAAGTTTAATTGAATCAAATACCAGATTTCTATTTCTTAAATTATATGTAATAGATGATGATTCTTCATTTTTGGCCTTTTCTTTTCCTTTCCTACTTGATTTAGAATCTATAACACTAAGTAAAAAAACAACTTTTATTAATAACTAGAGTGGCGACGAGTGGCGATAACCACTACCATCCTTATGGTAAACACTTATCCAGCAATATCGGCTATTTCTTTTTCTGCTTTTCTCTTTTTGTTTCCCGAAGACATTTTTTTAAAAAAAGCAATAAAAGATAATTATAGATCGACAAACGCGAACACTGTATATGTAATAGTTATATACTTGTTAAGTTTTTTCTTCAGGATATAAATAAATACAGTGAAGGTAAATTAAGTCAGTAGCAGCTACCATTGTTATTAAGGAAATAAATTTATTTGTTTCTTACATTTAATATATTATGTAAGGTATTCTTTTGGAACACATCCTAATTATTTTATATATGAATTTTATAGGACTGCCTGCTTGTTAAATAGCAGAAACTGACAAATCCAACAGCTCATATCTTTCTAAGTAAATATATTTTTTTACTTTTGATTTACAATAAATGCATGACTTTCTATATTACTAGGATT